CATTACAGAAAAAATTTGCAATTACCATTGTCTGGTTACGCAGCCAAAACAACTGGAGCGACCTCGCAACTGATAAGAGCAGCATCTTAATTTTATCTTATTATACTTGCTCTGCAAAGCAAGTGCCTAAATTTCGCTCTTTAGAATTCATTAACATAGAGCTGCCGCTCTTCGCTGTAACGATCGTTTTATTGCCCTAGCTTCACTTATGCGAAGGCCTCGATGCTGCGCATCGAATTTAGTTAAGTTCGTTCGCTTCATGCATTTGGTACGCATCGGCCACTTGCATTACTCAAAATTATAACTAATAATTGTTTCTTCGCTAAAATTGGCACGTTCTAATTCGGGTTCGCTTGCCTATATACAAACTATTGTTCTTAAATAATAAGCACAGACCAATTCGGGTCTGCCTGCTTTTCGTAACTTTGAGATATATAAAACAATTTTGAACACAAAAAATAAATAGTTAATTATTTCTATTTGTGAAAGCTATTGAAAAAGCTCAATAGCGCAACATTTGGTGACCCCGACGTCAACTTTATTTTTGTTGTTGTAAGATTATTTGCTTTACATTAAAGCAATAATCTTAAAAGGCAACACCTGGCATTTCGTTTTGTGCACTTTATATACATACATACTTATCGCCGTCGCTTTGCCTACTCTCTCGGTCGCTTAAAATCTCTGCTCATTCGTACGGTACTTATGTAAAAGCTATTGCCGTTGCTTCATTACATAGCTTGACACTTGCGTTCGCCGAAGTTCTTATTGGACAACTATTGTTTTTTGAACGGTTTGCATGTACTAGCGATCACCGTTGTTAATTACTCAGCTAGTTTCGCACGCGCTTTCTATCGCGCTTCTAATGGCAACCGAAAATAATGCCTCTAGTGCAGTGCCCTCTGCAAACAGGGTGACCTTTCTGAAGCGCAAAGCTATTTCAATTTATGACAGTTTGCAAACACTTCGAAATGCTCTAACTAATTCGCCACTTAGTGCAATTGATGAGTGCGGTCTTAGTGTTAGGCTGAAGCAAATCGAGCGGCTTCAGACCTCATTTGATATTACTCACACTAGCCTCGAAGAACTAGACTTTGATGAAATCGGTAACCAATTGCGTGAGGACTTCGACGAGTAAGCAGTTTCTATGGAAATTTCGGTTCGGAGTGAAATTGCGAAACGTGTCTCAATATTGCCCTGCTCAACATTTCGCGACCAATCTGTGCTGCCCTCGCAGACAGTTAGAGCTAAGGCACGCCAACACTACCCTCAATAAAGTTGCCTACGTTCAGTGGTGGTTACACAGAATGGGCCGACTTTTATTCTATGTTCACAACCGTCATAGAAAATCATCCTGATCTAGCAGATATCGAAAAGCTGCAGCATCTTCGATCGTGCCTGAAGGATACAGCGCTGGACGCGATTCGATCATTGGAAATAACAAACGATAATTATGCCATAGCACTTAATTTATTGGAGAAAAGGCTTAATAATAGACGTTTGGTTTTTCAGGCACACATACTTGAGATATTGGGGCTCAAGAGGGTGGCAGGTGGATCGGCCGTGTCGCTAAGGGAGTTATCCGACCAATTCAACGCACATTTTCGCGCGTTAAAGAGCATGGGCAACTCCGAACAAATCGCTGGATGCATCATTGTGCAGATTATTTTACAAAAGCTTGACCCAATATCACAAGCCAAATGGGAAGAAAGGCTAGAGGATTCGTCGTTCGTTAATTTAATACCATCGTGGGAGCATATGGCAACGTTGCTGGAGCAGAGATGCCGAACAATGAAAACCGTAAATTTTGCTATGGCAAGCTATGCCCCTAGCCATCAGGTGGGAAAAACTAGAGCAATTAACACCAGTAGATCGTCATATATCGCCACTAACCACGACGCCCCTGTCTGCGTCTTTTGTGACAGCCCTGGTCATAGTATATATAATTGTTCTCGATTTGGAAATTTGACCCCTGCATTACGGCTTAGGGAGGCAAAACGAGTTGGATTGTGCTTGAATTGCCTAAAGAAAGGTCATTAATTGCGATCATGCAGCTCTGGATGCTGTCGGACCTGCGGGGCGAAACATCATTCTCTGCTGCATTTAAACAATTCCGTATCTCCGTCTGGTCAGCTGACTGAGCCTGCAAATTCATCGCCGATAGCCCATGCCTCTTTCGCTAAGTCAGTAGTCTCAGTAGTGATGTTGTCGTCTTGGCTACGGCTATGATCTTTGTAAGAAATCGCTCCGGCACTTTGATACCTTGTCGTGCCCTTTTGGATTCTGGTTCTCAGCTTCACCTTATAACGTCGCGTCTTGCTCAAGAGCTTCAGCTAAAGAAGCACAAGTCCTCAGCCATTGTCTCTGGTCTAGGAGATTCTCGTTTTGAAACAGAAGGAAACACGGTCACTATCACAATACAGTCTCAAGTCTCTGAATACTCAACATGCCTTACAGCTCTGGTAGCACCTAATAGTCAACCGAGTTTTACTTTCAACACGACGAATTGGAACATTCCCGCTAACATAAAACTTGCAGATCCGTCTTTCTTTAAACCTCAACGAGTGGACTTGCTACTTGGAGCTAGCCTGTTTTACGACCTTCTCAGCGTCGGCCAGATAAGGCTTCTCCCAGGACTACCATGTCTTAAAAAAACACGGCTTGGTTGGGTAGTTTCTGGAGGCGGACCCCGCTTGAGTGGTTCTATGTTAATGGCAAAGCATACTGCGGGCAAACTTGAGTCAAGTTCTGAAGAATGTGCTGATGAATTGGTTCGACGATTTTGGGAGATAGAATCCTGCTTGGAAAGTACACCTACCACTTCAAAGGAAGAAAACATCTGTGAAGAACATTTCGTAAAGACTCATATCAGATTGCCTATTGGCCAATATTCAGTTCGTTTACCCTTCAAGCGAAGTTTGGAATGTCTGGGGACGTCATACCAACAAGCCTTTCGTCGGTTCCTGACCCTGGAACGCAAACTACAAAATCATCCAGATCTGAAGATTCAATATTCAAACTTTCTAAAGGAATATTTGGATCTTGGTCATATGTCGCCTGTTGCTCCAGAGTCTATAGGACTTTGCCAATACTTTCTTCCTCATCACTGTGTCTTTAAAGAAGACAGTTCAACGACAAAATTGCGAGTCGTTTTCGACGGCTCAGCATCTACCTCGTCAGGTTATTCATTAAATGATCTATTGATGGCTGGACCTGTTATTCAAAGCTCGCTGTTTCATATCCTTCTTCGCTTTCGTAATTTCCCAATCGCCCTAACAGGAGATATTGGACAAATGTATCGCTGCGTACGCGTTTCAGCACCGGATGATTTTCTCCAATGCATTCTATGGCGAGACTCGCCAGAACAGGATATAAAGATTTTTAAGCTGGATACAGTTACATACGGAACAAAGCCAGCTTCATTCCTCTCTATCCGTGCTATGCATCAGCTGTCTATGGATGAGGAAACTAATTTTCCAATTGGATCTCGGATTTTGCGGCGTGACTTCTACGTTGATGACCTCATTTCAGTGGGTGATTCAATTCAAGAAGCAAAGGAACTTCTTAATCAGACGGCTGGAATCTTGGCAAGTGGGGGCTTCAAGTTGCAAAAGTGGTGCTCAAACAATTCTGCTGTACTGAAAGGGATACCCGTAGAGGACAGAGAATCTTCCCTAAAGATTGATGATGGTAGCGACATCACCAAAACTCTTGGACTCGCTTGGGACTCAGCGTCGGATCGATTGTTGTTTTCGTTTTCGTCCATTCAGCAGAGATCTAAACCATCAAAAAGGTGAATACTATCGACCATAGCTCGCTTGTATGACCGGCTTGGACTCATAGGGCCGATAATTGCCAAGGCTAAAATCTTTATGCAGCAGATCTGGAAGGAGAAGCTTGAGTGGGACGAGAGCTTGCCATCATCACTGGCAACAGCTTGGCATGATCTTTGCTGCAGTTTTGAGAAGGCACAGTTTCTTAAATTTCCTCGTCTCGTGTCAATACCTGCAGCAGAGTTAGAAGTTCACGGTTTCTGCGACGCCAGCATCGAAGCATATGGGGCCTGTGTCTACGTCCTTTCTCGACGAACATCAGCCAGTTGTCAGCTGTTGTGTTCCAAATCGCGTGTAGCTCCTCTGAAAACAATCACAGTTCCAAAGCTAGAGCTCTGTGGTGCCGTCTTATTATCTAATCTCATGCGTGAGATATCTAAAATGAATCTGGTTGATGGAAAATTCTACTGTTGGTCGGATTCTTCTGTATGCCTTTCCTGGATAAGGACCGAGCCCTGCAAGCTCAATGTGTTTGTGGCTAATCGCGTCACAGCAGTTCAAGAGCTAACTAATGGCATGGAATGGCGTTACGTGCCTACTTCACTCAACCCGGCAGATATACTCTCGAAAGGAACTACGCACAGTGAATTAGATCAATCGTCACTGTGGTTCAACGGCCCAGAATATCTAGTTAAAAACGAATTGGACTGGCCTGCTTCTTGCTTGTCAGAAAGGACAGAACTCGAACTTAAAAAAAAGGGTCCTTATTGCGTCATCTCCCTTCGTTGATATAACTGTCACTTGTAAATACGTCAACTCATTTGATACAATGCAGCGTATATTCGGATATATTTATAAATTCATACACAGAAGCAGGCATCCTGGACTAACAGTGTCTGATATACAACATGCGACCCAACTCTTACTAAGGCTCGTCCAGAGAGCACACCTGTGGGAAGAGATCAAATCATTGCAATCGAGAAGAGTTGTTAAACCATCCAGCTGTATCGCATCACTTAACCCTTTTTTGGATGATTTCGGAATTCTGAGAGTTGATGGGCGCTTGAAAAACTCTTCGCTGGATTTCGACGCTCGCCATCCAATAATTCTCCCGTGTCAGCACCCCATCACAAACTCGGTCATCACACGGTTTCACAATCGGGACTTACACGCTGGTCCACGGGCACTTCTTGCTCATATTCGGTTGCAGTATTGGCCGATTGGTGGAAGGAAGACCGTATCCAAGGTTGTCGGAAAATGTGTGAGATGCTTTCGTGCCAAGCCTCGATTAATAGAGCATATAATGGGTGATCTGCCCAAAGAACGTTTGACTGTTTATCGAGCCTTTGAAGTCTCTGGTGTTGACTATTGTGGACCATTTTTCTATAAGCCAGACGTACGAAATAAAGCTCCAGTCAAATGTTACATGGCTGTCTTCGTATGCTTCGCGACTAAAGTGGTTCACCTGGAACTGCTCAAAGATCTGTCGACAGCTTCTTTCTTGAATGCGCTTAAGAGGTTTATATCGACTCGAGGCAGGCCATCTCAGATATGATCGGATAACGCTACCAACTTTGTCGGCGCCAAAAAAGAGCTTCTGGATCTCAAGCGTCTATTTACAAGTCGTGATCATATTGAGTCAGTGCATAATTTTTGCATGGCTGATTCCATTGATTGGAAATTTATACCTCCTCGTTCACCGCATTTTGGCGGCCTTTGGGAAGCAGTGAAGACAGCGAAACATCATTTTTATCGTGCTGTTGGATCTTGTGTTCTCAACTTCGAAGAGTTTCGCATCCTAGTCTGCCACATAGCATCGATAATTAATTCCAGGCCATTGTTTCCACTTTCAGAAGATCCAGCAGATCTAGATGTGCTCACTCCAGCTCATTTCTTGATTGGTGGACCCAGCTCATCGTTCCTTGAACCTGATGTGACGCACCTTCAATTCAATCGTCTGTATGGTTGGCAACGCGTAACGTACCTCCAACAGCTGTTTTGGTCTCGCTGGCGTGAAGAATACTTAACACTGCTTCAGCAGCGCTCCAAGTGGCGTACTCCGAAACCAAGCCAATGCGTCAACGACATAGTCCTCGTAAAGGATGAAAATCTGCCGCCTCTAAGGTGGCCACTGGCGAGAATCACAGAGCTAATCGTGGGAAAGGATTAAGTCGCTCGAGTAGCCATTTTGCGCACCGCAACAGGGGAATCGAGGAGAGCTGCAAACAAGCTACGCCTATTGCCCATCAGGGAATCTATTGAAAGCCCATGCCTTCCAACGGGGGGAGAATGTCTGGTTACGCAGCCAAAACAACTGAAGCGACCTCGCAACTGATAAGAGCAGCATCTTAATTTTATCTTATAATACTCGCTCTGCAAAGCAAGTGCCTAAATTTCGCTCTTAAGTATTCATTAACATAGAGCTGCCGCTCTTCGCTGTAACGATCGTTTTATTGCCATAGCTTCACTTATGCGAAGGCCTCGATGCTGCGCATCGAATTTAGTTAAGTTCGTTCGCTTCATGCATTTGGTACGCATCGGCTACTTGCATTACTCAAAATTATAACTAATAATTGTTTCTTCGCTAAAATTGGCACGTTCTAATTCGGGTTCGCTTGCCTATATACAAACTATTGTTCTTAAATAATAAGCACAGACCAATTCGGGTCTGCCTGCTTTTCGTAACTTTGAGAAATATAAAACAATTTTGAACACAAAAATAAATAGTTAATTATTTCTATTTGTGAAAGCTATTGAAAAAGCTCAATAGCGCAACAACCATGCTGTTAGCATGCGAGGCAGACGCGCATAAATGTGTGTGTGTACCTATACACAGAAATTATTAAAGCTGCTGCGCCATCCAATTGCGAAGTTGCGCATTATTTTGGTTTTTTCTTAACCGAACTTTACGTAATTTTCTACAGTATATCTTATTGTACCATAAGATAATTGTGTATTCTGAAAAACTCGATTGCATTAATATTGTGGCTTAAATTGGTTGGTAATAAAAGTTGGGTTATTAACTTGATTTATAGCTGTGTGGTGATAGCGGGGAGGTTGTGATAGGTATAAAATGAAAGTTACTTGCCAAATATATTATATTCTAGAGGCAACATACCATGTTATGTGACTGTAGCTCTTATTATTTACCAAATTTGCTCTAAAAACAGGATGTCGATATCGATTTTGTTTGATTGCTTGGAAACGGAGTGAGTTATCGATTATCAGAAAACAACTCGATCTGCGCAGGCACTAGTAGCCCCTACATCTAAAATTTCAAGTCTCTAGCTCTTATAGGTTCTCAGATCATCGCGTTCATACATACGGACAGACGGACGGACGGACTGACGGACAGACAGACGGACATGGCTAGATCGACTCGGCTATTGATGTTGATCGAGAATATATATACTTTATGGGGTCGGAGATGCTTCCATCTGCCGGTAACATACATTTGGATTTTGCACATATATAATATACCCTTATACCAAAGACAATATAAACACTAAGATGAGTAACGTCATACAACAATATGCTACAATGCAGCTTGATTTTTTGAAAATTGAGAACGAAAACGAATTCTGTAGCATTGCGCTCTCACAGCCGAGAGAACGAAAAAGCTTCAAATAGAATTTGCTCTCAGCTTCGGTTCTATGAGGGCCCTGCACGCAATTATGTTTGTATGCGTGTGAATATACATACATAAAAGCATATTTGAATGTGTTGTTATCTACTGCTCTGGCAAGGTCTCTGGCTGGCAAAGAAACAATTTTCTTAGTTTTTTAGCGCAGATCACGACCTACCCCAAATTTCTGTTGATATATGAATTCATTTTTTGTACTGAGGTTGGCTCCGTACAAAATATGTATTTTTAAGTCGATGCAAACATTTATGTAATTTTTTATATTTGAAATTATATATGTCCTAAATATGTCCTTCGAGTTAACTTAAAATGTAATTGTATTTTCTTAATTGGAGAATAAAAATAATATTAATTTAATTTAAAGAAATTATGTAAATATATGCATCGACTTAGAAATACATACTTTCTGCGGAGCCAACCTCAGTACACAAAATGCATTCATATATCAACAAAAACTTGGGATAGGTCATGATCTGCGCTAGAAAACTAACAAAATTAATTTCTTGCCAGCTGAAGCCAGAGCAGTGAATAACAACACATACATACATACTTTTAAGTTCTTATGCATGTATAATTCACGCATACAACGAAAGGTGCACACACGCTATTGGCTGAGACAAAAACTTTTCTCGAGCATACGCTGTCCAAAAAGAAAAGTGAAATCAATCTATGTGTGCTATTTTCTTAACATAGTTATTGCGCAAGAAGCGCCTTGTGTAAAAATTATATAAGTTCTTAAATTTTCCTATTAAATGAATCGTTAATATCTAGGGTAATATATCATTTAAATAAAGCATGCATTTCATGGATAAAGCACAAGCACTTTGCGTCGATCGTAAGTTCTAAACTTTTCGCTCAATGTACTTCGAAAACGAAGCGACGCAAAGCAGCATTGACCAGCTTTGTTGAAGGCTGGCTGGCGACTAACTTTGTAGGTCGTGTCGGCATTCGTTCGTCTGGTCTTTGCAGAACGAACAACCAGTCGGCAGGCGTGCCGTACGAAGCCTCAAAGGCCAGATGAAAGGCCAGGCTAGAAATTTTGCGTCGCATTGAACTGTATGGGCGTTACTCATCTTAGTGTTTATCTTGTCTTTGCTAATACCCATTTTTAATGGGTTCAGGGTATAAAAAAGTACTTTCCCCGTTAGGGCTCGGACTCGCGACAGGCCGCACTACTTGCTATGCCTCTACTCAGCAGCCATACCAATAATTAAGCACTTGAGATAAAAAAGGAACTAAATAGCATTACAGAAAAAATTCGCTATTACCATGCTGTTAGAATGCGAAGCAGACGCGCATAAATGTGTGTGTGTACATATATACAGAAATTCTTAAAGCTGCTGCGCCATCCAATTGCGCAGTTGCATAAAATTTTGGTTTTTTCTTAACCGATCTTTATGAAATTTTCTACAGTATATCCTATTGTACAATAGAATATTTGTGTATTCTGAAAAGGTCAACTACATTTAAATTGTGGGTTAAATAGGTTGGTAATAAAAGTTTGATTATTAACTTGATTTATAGCTGCTATTGATGCTGATCAAGAATATATATAATTTATGTGGTCGGAGATGCTTCCTTCTGCCTGTTACATACATTTGGATTTTGCACAAATACAATATACACTTATACTCATATTTAATGGGTTCAGGGTATAAAAAAGGAACTTAAATAGCATCACAGAAATATGTCGCAATTACCATGCTGTTAGCAAGAGATAGAATACCAAGCAGACGCGCATGGATGTATGTGTGTATATGTGTGCAGAAATTCTTAAAGCTGCTGCGCCACCCAATTGCGCAGTTGCATATTGCTTTGGTATTTTCTTAACCGATCTTTATGAAATTTTCTACAGTATATCATATTGTACCATATTATATTTGTGCCTTAAATTGGTTGGCAATAAAAGTTGGGTTATTAACTTGATTTATAGCTCTGGAATGGTAGCGGGGAGGTGGCGATAGGTATTAAATGAAAGATACTTGCAATATATATAATATTCTAGAAGCAACATATCATGTTTGGTGACTCTAGGTGACTCTTATTATTTACCAAATTTGCTCAAAAAACAGGATGTCGATATCGATTTTGATCGATTGCTTGGAAATGGAATAAGTTATCGATTATCTGAAGCAAATTTTCTACAGTATATCTTATTGTACCACATAATATTTGTGTATTCTGAAAAAAAACTCGATCTGCGCAAAGTCGATCTGCGCAGGCACTAGGAGGACCTACATCTAAAATTTCAAGTCTCTTGTTCTTATAGGTTCTGCGATCTTTGCGTTCATACTTCAGACGGACGGAGGGACGGAGAGACAAAAACACAAAACATATTTGTTTAGCGTGGCGTGTACCCCTTAGGAGTTTAATAACACGGTATTTGAAATACAGCGAGCCAAATCAAAGTGTCGGACTAGCTCCCCTCCAAGATACTGCATGTGCAGTGTCTTTTCGGTACCAAATTGAATGCATGCTTGTCGAACATGACATTCCCCCTTGGTGGGAGGTGTGATATGTCTAAGCCTCCGCTGGTCTATGGGTACAGCAACCAGTTAACACGCAACTCCACGCCGAGGGAAAACTTTCCCCACATTTGGGTATCAAACCACAGCCACCACGATACTCCCCAAGGGGCGTATCATTTTCGTCCAGCAACGTCTTTATCTGCCTCTGATCTAGATTTCCGTTCACCGACTGTGATGCCAGGGTACCGGTACTTGTCGACATTTGGAATGTTTGCTGCTGCAAACCGTACCACGGGCGGCCTGGAAACGGCAAAACGCCACTTCAGCATCATCATTGCCGTCTTGCTGATTGAGATCGATACTCCGACCCCGGCTCCCCAGGGTCCCACGACGGACATCAGCTCAGCTGCTCAACGCTCCAGTTCGGCTCTCGACCTTCCCTTGACAAGAACCAGCAGGTCATCGGCATATGCACTAAATGTGCACAAAGGTTTCAGGCGTTGGAGCAGGACATCCATCATGGTGTTCCAGATGAACGGCCCACTAATGGATCCCTGGGGACACCCTCGCGTGACCTCCACCTCGACTCCACCACATCTGCTAGTCATCCTAGCTTTCCTGCCACAGAAGAAGCTTCTCCACAAGCTAGCTTCCTTGCATCCCGCATCGATCAAGTGGCGCATCGCGGCGCTCCACTCAATGCTGTCAAAGGCGCCATTAAAGTCCACGTAAAGACCAAGTACGTATACCGCCTGGCTTGCGGCAACGCTGGTCATCACGTGTTTCCAGGCGTCTTCGACACCGCGTTCAGGTTGTAAGCCAAATTGGTATCTTTTTCCATCCGGAAGCACCTCCTTCATTCGATCCACCATGATATCCTCAAGCACTTTGCCAAACACTGGCAACAGGCAGATGCCCCCATAGGAAGCTGGATTGCTCTTATCCTTGTCGGGGCCCTTGCGGAGCGCAACCCCACGCGGGCACTTCCACTCAAGAAGAAAGTTTCCTTCTGCCAGACAGCGGGAATACAACGCTGTCAGGTGCTCAGGGATGGCACGCCATACCGCCTTGCAGATCCCACCTGTAATGCCGTCAAGCCCGGCAACCGAGCGACGCATACTCCAACCTCGTAAGCTTCGAGCGCTGGAGCAGCTTCGTCCGGAATGTCGATGTCTTCACTTGACTCCGCAACTGGAAAAAAGCTGTGGAGGAGGAGACTCGCGCAATCGTGCCATGTTACGACTAGCCCGTCATCCGAACGAAGGCACCTCAAATCGGTAGACCGCTTTTGTCCCCGGCATATCCGGTAGACGTGCCCCCACGAATCTTCTCTGTGGTCTTCAACGAAGCGTCGCCAGTTTTCCTCCTTCGTCTTCAGGACGACTGTCCGCAGATGAGCTGCACGCATACGTACACCGATATCGATGCACGCAGCGCGGCCCCGGCCACAGTTTGCTTGGATGAAACTAAACATTAATGTTTAGCTTGCACCCTCGCCAACACTGCACAATAAATCGGGCAAGACCCCGAAATCATGTAATGCCCCGAGGGTAGCCCCTTGAAGCGGCACTTCCGGTAGTCCACCAGATTTGCGCACTTGGCTGCGATATGCCCCATCTGTTCACACTGTCGGCATACGTCCTGCTTAAGCCGGCACTCGGAAACCTTGTGGTCTAAGCCGACACACCAATGGCAAGCATAGGTGCGGACGAGTAACCGGCATCGGTATGAAAACCAATATCGCCAGGGCCCTCTAGTCAATTTCTAGCGTCAGACTTACGCTGGCACCATCATTAACGGACCACGGCTTTGACTCAAGGTGAACACCTCGGGCAGGATCGATGTGTCCACATCGAACACCGTTATCCTCGACTTCAATCCATCGTTCGGCTGGATGTTGAGTCCAACCTCCGCGAACTTGGCGTTTGCCACCACTCTGTTGAGCTCGCCCTTCGATGGTGTGCGAATGACCGCGCCGCCTCGCTTGAGCTCTCTCACGTCATGCACCTGCGCTCCAAGGGTGGGTGCGACCTCCTCCATGATGCGTTTGGCTCCCATTTTACCTGAATCGCTCGGGTCCCGACTCGTGACCACCGCGGCGATCGGCACTCCTGGGACGGGGACACCGGTGCGGGCAACATGGTGGGCAACTTGGTGGATGACTTGGTGACCAGCAGTTGCGGTCGGGGCGGCGAGCTGTGCCGCAGACGATCTGCCTGCCAGGCTCTCGAGCAGAGCGTTCCGCACTGCCAGCGACGTGGACAGCTTCACCAATCGCTTAACGGCTGCCGACACCTCGCGCGCGGCTGCGGGGGCGACACCCACCAGGGCAAGACGGGTCATTTCGGCAGCTGCCGAAAGCTCCGCTATAATCGCCCCTGTCCCTTCGGCCACTATCTTCCATGCTGGGGTACGCGCGATGATGTGGGCAGCAGCGGCAACGGCACCAACGTCTTCTTCTGCGGCGGCAGTATCAGCGGCTCTTTTTGCAGAAGCCCTAGTGGCGGGCTTGGCAAACTCATCTGCGCCTTCTATCGCTTGCCTCTTCGGCGCAACGGGTACGCAGGGTGGGGAAATCGTGCAACGGCCTCTCCCTCTCCTCACCCTCCTCCTTCCATCGGCGGCGACTCTGGCAACCAACTCAGCACTAGACGCCGTGCCGGCCACGCTTCTGGTGTCCATTGTCGTGGCGCCCGCCGTCGGCAACACCACGCGATAACCCGGACACTAACCGCTTATCTGGTTGATCTATTTGCGCTGCCTGCACTGTTTTGCACTGCTTTTTAAATTTCGCACGGCTTCGCACTATGTTCACTGCTTATCAAGCAGTTGTCTTTGGCACAATCAGTTTTATTGCTGTTTACAGTCAGCTTTCCCGCTAAGTTTTATGGCTTTGTTTATGCAAAAGTGTACACCTGCACCTTGTCTTTTGTTTTGAACACAAAAATAACTCCGCGACACGTCTGTTCGCGACGAACGTCTGGAACAAACTGGACGGACATACAGACAGACGGACATGGCTAGATCAACTCAGCTATTGATGCTGAACAAAAATATATATATATACTTTATGGCGGCGGAGATGCTTCCTTTTGCCTGTTACATACATTTGCATTTTGCACAAATACAAAATACCCTTATACCCATTTTTAATGGGTTCAGGGTATAAAAAGGAACTTAAATAGCATTACAGAAAAAAGTCGCAATTACCATGCTGTTAGCATGCGATAGAATGCGAAGCAACGCCCATTAATATTTGTGTGTACATTTGTACGGAAATTCTTAAATCTGCTGCGCCATCCAATTGCGCAGCTGTATATATCTTTGGTTTTTCCTTAACCGATCTTCATGAAATTTTCTACAGTATATCTTATTATACCATAGAATATTTGTGTATTCCGAAAATGTCAATAGCATTTAAATTGTGGCTTAAATTAGTTGGCAATAAAAGTTGGGTTATTAACTTGATTTATAGCT